GCAACCTTCCTCCTGCCCTCACCCATGTGACCAGTTCAGCCTGGGGCCTGGGCGGGTAGGTTCCCCAGAGCACAAACTGATCTCTGGGAAGCTGAGCCCTTAACCCTTGTCTGCAGGGACAGAGTCCCTTGCTAAGGCACAAATGTGCCAGTGACTAGGCTCATCTAGCGGGTAGTGGGTCACAAACTTGTGCCCAGGGCCGTGGAAGTTAGAAAACAAGCTTCATTTGCATAAGCACAGGACACTGCTTTCCTACCATAAGCAGGACATCCTTCTTTTCCTGTTCCCTAGTAGGAGCAAAAAGCAACAGCAGCTGGACCAGGAGCTAGTGAAATGATAGCCACCATTGGCTGAGTTCCTACTATGTGCCAGTCGCTTTATACACATGATCTTGTTTAGTTTTCACGGAAATCCTGTGAAATACTACATCCTTCCCATTTTACGCGGAAGGAAACTGAGGCTTAGGAAGTTAAGCAATGCCCAAAGCACACTGCAAATAAAAAATGTGGAGTATGAACCTGAGCCTGAGCAGGTCTCATTCCCCTACACCTACCAGACTTCCTTCAGTGTCCCTGCCAGGGTAACTGGCCACACACCATCAAGAATGGTGTTCTAAGTGTGGGGGTAGAAGTGGGTGTTGACAAGTTTTGCTTGATGGCTCTGGAATCTGAACTGATGCCCCCACTAACTACTATTGCTTCCAAGTGTGTGACTGTGAGAGTAAATGTGCGTTGTGCTGGGGTGGAGGGAGGGTGATCTGGATTCCAAAGAGCAGTTTCCAGCACTAAAGTTATGCTGTAATGCTTCTGATTCATAAAATGAGCTCACAGTCTCATAGTACCCTGAATGTTGCTTTGAATGCAAATGTGGATCCCTTAGTAAGAGTTGGGATTTCAGTAGGCTCCACCTAGCCCCAGCCCAGCGAACAATTTCCTTCAGCCCCACACATTCAGAGTACTAATAGCAAAAGCAATATCTTCGACCAAATACAACCACTGGCTGCATTTCCTGCAGCCTGCAGTGAATCAGGGAAGGAGCTGCTGCAGCTGTTCCTGCACCAGGGCATGTGCACACAGGAGGGTGCCAACCTAGCCTGGCAGAAGGAAATATGCAGGTTAGCAGATACCAGGGCAGGAGGCTCCACAACTCTTTCACTCTTTTCCTTTCAGTAAGGATGATGAGAGGTTCTAGAAGGCCAGCTTCAGGGCACTGCCAGGAAACTGGGTTCATCAACACCACAATCATTCATAGGAGACTGATCCTTTTGAAACTAATGACACAGTATAAAGAGGTCCCAGCAGCAGAGACTCATTGTGCCTTCCACATGCCAAGTCCACATTTTTTTCTTTATTTTTCTTTCTTTATTTATTTATTTTGTAGTATTAGGAATTAAACCCCATTCAGGGCCTTGTGCAAGCACTCTACCACTGAGCTACATCCTCAGCCCTTTTTATTTTACTTTGAGACACAGTCTTGCTAAATTGCTGAGGCCTGTCTCAAACTTTGATCCTCCAGCCTCAGCTTCTCGAGTAGCTCAGATTACAGGTGTCCACCACTGTTCACTCATTCAACTTACTTCAACAAGTAAGGTACTACACACCTACTGGATGCCAGGCACTGGGGAACAACAAAGAACTTACACTGGAACAGAGACTACAATTCCCAAACACTCAGAGCCCTCACGGCAACTCTGCAAAAGGAGATATGAAAACTAGCCTGAGTCTATAATTTTGACTACCACACTGCAGTACGTGCACAAATAACTACGTAAGATGACAAAGGTAAGACCTTCTTCTGAACACTCATTGTCATAAGACCTAAGAAGTGGCATTTGAAACCGAACTAGAAGGAAAAGCAAGAGTATCCCAGCCATTTGTGGCCACTCTCTCTTCACCATGAGCGGGGTTTTCTTCTTGGAGACCCAACTACGAGAGGGGCTATCAAGGCTAAAAATTCTTGACCCAGGCCCATTTACCTTCTAAGACACACACCAAGCACAGACACCCAATCACCCTCCCACTCCCCTCTTGCTCCAGAAGTCTTGGCTCCACTGAGCAACCTTTCCTGGGTC